CAAACATATGAACAAGCTATTAAAGGGACACAAAGACACACCTTTCTTGCTTAGTCTAAGAAAGGATAGAAATGGGTTGGTCGTTACCGAGTTGAATTTGAGCTTCTATGTTAAGGACAAATGAAGAGCAAACTATTGCGGTTTGTTAGTGAACGCCGCGAAATATTTGCTTAGAGCCACCTTTTAGTATACCGATCGTCGTATCTCAACTAGATGAATCTATCAAACTATGTGTGTCCGTCTATCGATTTCTCCATCAGGTCAGGATCCACCTAAAATGTTAATTTCATATTAAAATTTAGAGTTATTGCAAGCGTTCTGAAATGAGTAAAAATTTGTTATCACTTGTATTACCTTAATAAATGTCTTTCATGGAGATATTTTGCCATCCATGATTTGTGTCAATAACTTAACAATGATATATTGTTCGATATGCCATATGGCAGAACTACATGATTTACTTCATCGAACTTCATTGTTTCCTTAAGCAAATAAACAAAATTTTATCAAAACAGTTTTTTTTGTGCTGAACAGCCACACGCTGATGATGCTGAACTTTAAACGCAATGCAATATTTTCTTTTATTTACAATTTTCACCAGCAGCAAGAAACACTTTCTCAATCAGTTGTGGAAATGTATATATTTTCTTTTATTTACACATTTCGCTTTTTCTTTTACAACTACAGGCTTTCTTTTACATGCCAGACGGCTAAACGTGAGCCAGCACTACCATTCGATATGTGCTAATCGAAAATGTTCCTATAATAAATTTGCTTCGCACCATGGGAATAAATTGAATATTCATGTTCACGGTCGTGTGCTGGTTAGTATTCGAGTTTTTTTGGTATAAAATTTGTGTGTAAACACAATAGGGGGAAATGGAATGATGATAAATATTTCGTCACTTGTTTGAGAGTGTGTGTATTTGCAAAATTTCACTTGTTATGCTAATTAGTTAGTTTTAGTATTTGGAAGTTCATATTTCATTCTTCACTTGATAAATATCATCATTATCACCTGTTATTTGGAGAGGGAATATCAAGCTATACCGCATATAGAACAGTGAACAGTATTTGCTCCAGATAAACCGAAACAAATTACTCCTATATAACAGGAGTAGGTCTAGGAAACCAACTTCGTTAAGTTAGGTATACTCTTGTATACTCTCAACTATTAGGTGGACATTCCAAATACATACAATCGATTGAGACATTGAATAGTTTAGGGTAAGGGTAAATTTTTGATAAATAGAAATAAATAAATTAAGTCAATTTAGTTGAAATCTAAACTTTGCAAAATACCGTAATTTGGGAGGTACAGTTAAAGAGGAGGCAACCCTAAAATGTGGTCCAATATTGAAAATGTTTGGTATAAAGATTTTCTACCCAATATAAATTCAAGATACAATATTTTTTAAACAATTTTTTTAAAAAACGTACACAGGCTTCCTAAAATACCAAAATTTCTGAGGTACTATAAAATAGGGGCTGTTTAAAAAAGTGGACCAAGATCGATAAATTGTGGTAGAAAAATGTCCTACCCAATGAGTACCAATAATACCAAATTACAGTCAAATCGGGGATCTATATCAATTATAGGGTAACTATACCAAAAAGTGATGACAGCCCCGAAAATCTTTCTACAAAGGACCTATTGAGTATCCTTTGTATTCTGAAGGGGTTCCTTGAATAGAAGATCTATTGAAATTCCTTCATAATAAATCAAAAAACTCATTTAGAAATATTGTATTCAAATATTCCTAACGAACCCATTCAACCGAAATATCTCAAACATCATTCGCCATCAAACATTTAATATCAAACCCCCCTCGCTCTCACTCTCTGTACAGTTATGTACAAACAAACATAGCAGCACTCGCACATAACGCACATTTAGTAGTGGCAAACCACCACACTTTCCCTTTCAAGGACATCAACATGAAAGTCTATGGCTTTTTGCAGACAGCTGTTTTGAACACAACAAACAAATACAAAATAAGCTTCTAAATGTACATTTTTGGTGGCGTCAAAAATACTAGGGCGCACAAACCAAAAAACATGTACAAAAATTTGAGAAATGAATATGTAATGAACAAATTAACAAAAAAAAAAGAAACAACAACAAACTCAATCAAAATGAAACAACCACCATCATCATCAACACTGCAAAAATATTTAAGGGCAGATACAAATGATGGGGAGGATGTTAGGGGTTGTAGTTTTGACTTTTCGGCAAGAGCATTATATCGGAAGGAAGCGATTATCTGCAAAATGCCAATGAATTTAGAGGCATCATTCATAGCAGACAAATAGCTTCATTGTAGATAAACAGATGTTTGTTTGCAAGATAGGATCATGCTGTGATACATTGTCTAGTAAAATAGATTTAACTGCCAATGGCACGTGAGATTGAAATTTGCATCTTTTTTGTGAAAATTAATAATGGCAAATGTTAACAAAATACATTGAATCGTATAACGTGAGGATATAAATTGACTTGGTTTACATTTTGCTTCTATGTATGGGCACAAAGCGATCAATTCCTTGGGAATCTGAAATAAGCCGTTGAACTAAATATGCTATGACCAGTGACATTTGCATTGTCGAACTAATCACCACATATTAAAAAAGATGTCAAGTAGCGGTATTATATTTAAGACATACTGGATTTTCTTTCCGACAGGGTGATATGTTAAAGATACCCCGTCAAAATACATTCATCTGATATAAACAGGGATATAAAATATCTGATGATCAGTCACATCTAAGTGACAAGGCGAACTACTGACGCAAAAAATTTACTAAAAAGACCGTTAACTGTAATCTATCTAAAATATATTGGATGGGAAGTTATGTTCAAGGTTGGCACTGAGGGTGCAGACTGCTTTTAAAAAAAGGGGAACCAGAAACCAATTTGTTATCTTAGCAGGCCTTATATGGTTAATCCGAAATGTTTGGTGATTTATTTTAAATAGTTTTTGCCGTTTCATGAAAGTTATGCCATGATAGTACTAGTATCCTACACAGGTTTAAATCCTTCAAACATTAGGAAAACAAATCCACATATATACATATCCTGTAATTAAAAACGAACCCTTTTTATCGATAATTACTAAATCTGTTGAGAATATAAAGAACTAAATCAGGATACAATCCAAAAAAGTAGTCTGTGTATGTTGAATAACGTCACATGTCCATAAGGTTTGTCCTACAATTGACATTTACTGGATTCAAAGAAGGTCGTGGTATATTTTTTATAAAGTAGATCAGAATTAAATCTTCATCCATTACCGACAGAGAAAAAACGTTTAAAGAGAACCCCTACGATTTCAGGGTGATTGCTAATGGACGCGACCACAGTTTGGGAATCCTGTGAAATCCAATAACTATTCATTAGATTTGCGGCAAATTAATTAACTGGATTTATACATGGATACCTAGTCTAGTTTTAGATACCAAGTTCCTGTCATGGTAAGGAGGTTAAAAGTTCAACTTATATTTTTGTTTGATTACCATGTTACAATTAGCCACGAATATAACAAGATCCGACCCATAAACCTCTACGAAATTTTCGGATTCGGACATGACTAATTTCCTAATAAATTATATGAATAAAAGGTAGTATAGATTTAGTTACCAAGTTATTGTCATGGTACGAAGGTCAAAGGTTCGACTGATATTTTCATCTTGACCTTGATGAGATGAACCTCCCTCTCCGAAAGCAAATTCGCATCATGACCAACGGATTTGCGGAGATAAGATACGGCACGTTTATAGTGTTTCGCATCGGATGCTTGATTCGTTCGATCAACAGGGTCTACACCTCATTCGTTGATGCTACAGCAGACCTCCTGTGTAGACTTGGCCAGAATTACCGTAGTGTCCAGCTCATTATTAGCCAGGGTAAGATTTAGTAACAGTTCCTCCGGAAGTGTATTCCCACTTTGCTCTTCCGGTACAAGCCTGTCCAACTGGTCGACGAGTTCCCTACTCTGTTCCTCTAGACTATCGCGGATAGCACCTAAGGGTCCTATGTAGGTCGTCCACTCCCATAAATACAGTCCTGTCAGTCGTATATTGATTTGCATATGTCTTGAATAGCTCGTTTTCCATTTGAATTGCCAGGTCGTCATCTTTATTTGGGGGTAAACATGACGCGCTTGTAGCAGGTACAGCTGCAGGTGTCAAGGCAGCCCAGAACAGTCGGTTCACAATCCCCCTTCCCTAAAAGGTGGTTATTTAGCCATGCCAAATTTTTGACAAAGCCTAGGATCTGATTGGGGCGCACATTTTTTAAACGAAATGGTTTTAATTTAGTATTTAGGTTTCCCGATTGTTGGCAAATCGTCCTGTCGGTCGACCTATGGGCACAGTGTCCATAGAAACCCCTTTTATGGCATTTTGGTGGTCCCAGTCACATTTTCCAAATAAAGTGGGGCCATATAGAAGTCCCGATCGATTTAATTTTATTGAAAATCTACCTTCTGGTATAAAAAGTTCGACCCAGTCACCGACATTTTAAATGGTTTTATTTTCATTGCTTTGGGGAAGTGACCAAAGGTAGTTAATGATGAATGCCACAAGGTGGGTTCATGTTAATTCACTATAAAATATAATATCCTTAACAGGTAGGAGATGAATGACTTAGGAAAACCATTTACATTCCTCCACTTCACACCTTCCTTTGAAAATATGAACGTGGTGGTGGTGGTGACATTCAATTACATTAACATTACACAATTGATAAGTTCAGATAATGCACTCTACTCTATGATATCAGAAATTTCTTTAGATGATACCACATTTAGATAAAAATCACAAAATGCTACAACCTACAGAGCCTAGCAATATTTCATTTAATATCTAGAAGCCTGTCATATCAACACCGTCAATGGACAACTTTCTAGAAAAATAAATATTTGTGTTTACTTTGGTTTTTCACCATCCTTTTTTTCGTTGTTATCCTTTTTCCACCATTTGCCTTTTTTTACGATACTTACAATGTGCTCTCGTACAGTGTTGTGGAATATTTGTAGTTTCATATCGGTAACTTCTTCCTCTTCATCTTCCATGTTGTCGAAGAATTGATGATTTTTGTCACTAACAGCGGCCAGTTTAGATGAGGGGGTTTGTTGTCTTTGGTTAAATTAGAATTTTCAATTAAACTGTGGTTTTATTTTTTAAAGCAATTGCAACACCAAATAAACTATTTTTTTTGTAGTTGTTCTCAAATTGTAATCAAAACACAAACGCACGTACACACAGAATCTCACAAAACGTAGTCGTATATGGTGATGGGGGTCAATTAAATTTTAGTTGAATTCCCAAATTTCCACAGAAACTATTTTTTGGTGGCATTTACTTTTTTGGACCCCAACAACAACAGCAGCAACAAAAACTATGCCTTTTGTTGATACATTCTTCTTCACATGCAGCCTAGTCCATCCGTCACAAACACTTGTTGTCGTTTTCTCTATTCTTTCAATGTTGTCACTCTCTCCCCCACTCAGTTAATAAAACTTTCTCGTTATCGTATTTCACTTAAATTGTTTCAGTTATAGATATCCTTTTTATTTGTTGTTAATTTTCCAAACTTTGATCCTTTTCCACTACGACGCGATGACAAAACTCTTGTCCTCTCCCTCTGTGACGTCGTCGTAAAGTCAACTAGATGGAATTTTCACACACGCACGCACGTACACACACGTTTCGTTGTTTATTTTATATTTTGCATTGAAGACGGACAAAAAATAACTGATAAGAAACAATTGCCAACGTTTGTTTTCTCTCCAGCTACAATTGTTTAATTTGTATTTAAGTAATTTCAATTAATTTTGTTTAACATTAAGAAGAATTTCGTGACAAATTGGAAAAATAGCTCCGCGTAAATCAAAGCAAACAAAACTACAACAATTTTCCGAATTTTCACCCGACGCGTTCAAAGAGACAACTGACTGCAAGAATGTCAAGAAAAAAGAAATTGTGTATTTTTCGTTTCACAGCTGGCTGGGCATGGTGTTGCCATACGGTACAAAAAGAAATATTTTGTTATTTTATATAAAAAAATTTAATTAATTTATCATTAAATAATTAAAAATAATAGAATAAAGAAAAATGGTTTTCTTGAAATCGGTTCAGATTCAGATATTGCTCCCATATATATTTTCCGATTTTATGTAAATAGCGCACCAAGCTGCGAAGATTTGTCCGATTGAGAAGACATTTAGCATAGCTTATTGTTTTGTTGATATCAGTTCGGATTTAGATATAGTTCCCACATATAGTTTGATCCTATTCATCTAAATTGTGCATCAAATACCCAAAGTTTGTCTGATTGTGATGAAATTTTGCGCCGCGTAGCTAATTGAGTTAATTTATAAACAAAGTACAGGTCGCATTTATTATCCAAATGATATAAAATTTGACCCAGTTCATTTAATTGACCAAAAGACGAACATTATTGAAATGGGTGAAAATCGTTTCAGATTTCGATATAGTTCCCATATATAGTTTCGTCCGATTTTATGTAAATGGTGCACCAAAAACCGATTGATTGAGACGACATTGCCTAGCGTATTAAGAAGTTTTAAGGTTTGTTGATATCGGTTCCGATTTGGATATAGTTTGGTCCAATTTCATCTAAAAAATGCTCCAAATACTGAAAGCTTGTGCGATAGCGATGAATTTTCGCAGAGTAGCTTATTGAGTCTACAATTAAGTGTATTAGGTTTCCAATGCGTCCTTAAAATACCAACTTTTATGTTTTTGAACGGTCGCAAAATTCTGGTGCTATAACCATTACTATATACTCTGGCACTAGGTTCTGAAACTATTTTTTTTTTTTTGAAAAAATTATATTTATGAGTTTTATATACAAATTTTTTTATATCTTCAATTTTATATTTACAATTTACTCAATTTATAATAACCAGTCCCTCCTGTTTAATTTGCCACCATTTCATATTAATATTTTGACGCAAGTCAGTGTTATAGAAAATTTTGCAAATATAAATTATATTCACAAAAATATGAAATTTTTGTTAACCGTAACCAACAATTTTATAAAAATTTTCTGGATTAACATTCAGTCACCAGATTTCAAATATATAATGCTTTATTGGATCTGCCTGAAATCGACCTTTTGCCAAAATTTTGATTCCTGGCCCATAGTGCATTATAAGGGACCTAACCCGAAACTTGGGTTAATATTGACATTTTATGGAAAGCAGATTTTCTTACAATGACAATACAAAATAACACTTTGACAAAGAGGACCCCTGCTTTCCGATCTGAAATTTTGAGCGATATTCAACCGGCTGGCAATGAACAAACAAATATACACCTAAGTCTGTTTTTACACGGTAGATTCGTTCCAGAAGAAGCCCTGTAAAAAAGACATTGATCTGGAATTCCCTTTAATTCCCCTAAATTAGTGCTATTCACATTTGCTTTGACCAGTAAAAATTGTTTATACGCACTAAAGGGGAATTCACTTAAATCTTTAAGCTAGTGTTCGCAAACTATCTATAATATCGATGGTTTCAGACTTTTTTCTTTCATAAATACTTTTTTGTGATATGAACATACTTCGCAAAAATCTAATTTGACAAAAAAAATTTAAGTACATAAAATTTCAAATCGTGCTAAATGGAATAAAATCGTCTAAAAAAATAAAAATATTAAATTTTCAAACCGTGTTATATCAAAACCGTGTACAAACAAACCGTGAAGTATGTATGCGAAGTATGTATGTATTTATAGTAAAATTGAATATAAATTTTTGAAAAATTCAAGTTTGAAATAAATCAAGTTTGAATAAAACGTGTTAAAATTTGGATTGCTAGTTTTTGAGTTATAGTGCCCTCCATTAGTAAAAACGCTGTTTGGAGAAAACGCGTTTAGAGTTTGAGAAGCACTCCAAGAGTTTTTGAGATTTACACTTGAAATTTTATAGGAATATTCTTGAATTAGTATAGGTTAGAATAAAATTAAAAAGCAAAATTAAATTTTTTGAATCCGAGACTGGGGTATATCTCCAAAATTAACCTTTCTATTAGTCACATACACACATATTCTATGCATGTTTTAAGTTTATGGTGAATTATAATAATATTCTATATATTTCTTCCGATTTATAAAATAAAAAAACATAAATCCTAAGTTGTTGTTTCATCAATGTGAGATTTTTATTCACCATTATCAGTAAACATAAAATTAGTTTAAGGTACTTAATAATTTCCAAATAAATTAAATATATAAAATAACCTAAAACTAAACCCGGAAATATAATGAAAATCTTTGGATAAAATAATATTTAAAACAAAATCTCTTTCAACCAGATATGTATCTAAACCCTCAACCAGTATCTTCTGAGGTACAATCCGAAGAATCATTAGGATTAGTTGTTTCTATAGAGCAGACACGTTTAATTAAATCATTTTCAATGGGTTTACCATTATCGATGGTCTCTTCCATTTGAACATATTCCACTGTAGTAGTTGATTTCTGTGGCTTACTCGCAGAGGTGGAGGACGATGCATTGTCGGCCTGTGATTTTTCTTTATTTTTACGCATTTCTGTCTCATCCTCAGCTTCTTCAGCCAAACTGCTACGCTGTGGTTGTGGGGCTTCAGCATATGCCTGAGGATATTGATGACTTAGTTTCTGCTTAATCGATCTTATCTTTCGAAAAATATAATCTAAATCTTTTTTCATGTCAGCCAGTACTTTACAGTGTCGCTTGAAATCATCGGAGGCCTGTTTCAGACGTGACTGCGATAGGGCGTTGCAATTCAACAGCATTTCATTGGTTTTCTCAAAACGCTGTAACCTGCCAAATAAAAGATTAGACAATGTTAATTGTTTATTGGAACAATATTTGGGGTTTTCGTTGTTATGTTATACAAACATTTGTTTTTGTGCTCTGATTATGTTTTCCACATCACTTTGATTAACAAGGCCAGCTAATCCTTGAATGAAAGCTTCCGCCGCCGTATAATTAAAACCATCCATGCTGAAATCTTCGTCACCGTCTTTATTGGTGACTTCATTGTTTTCTTTTTCAGTTGTAGTTTGGTAGGAGTTTATTTCTTCTTCATTGCTCATCATTTTCGCTGTTTTTCCTGATTTTATTAATTTTGTGTTTTGTTTTGATTTTTGTGTATGTTTACATTATTTTTTTTGCGAATACTTTCATAAACTGGGTAACGAGTATTCATTTTGAAGAGAGAGTCTCTCGCATGTTCTCTTGAAAATATGTGGAGTTACCGTACTATTAATATTCTATTGAAGGCCGATGGGAAATTTTTAAATTTGCGTACTGTATGAAAAATGGGATATATCGGTCCATTCCTTATACCCCATATAAAGGTATCCCCAATATACGATACTTTTTAAACCTAATCAGCTGTAATCTGGTATTTTCGGTTAATTCTGGGTAGATAATATTCTTACTAAAAATTATATCTCTTTAGCGTTACATCCCATGTTCGGTATTTTGAAATCTTCTTACTATAAATCATCAATATTGCTCACGCTATATCCCTAAATTCAGTATTTTGGGAGTTTGGGCACGTGTTTCAACTAAATTGCCTGCAGATTTATATTTTAAATTTTCATTATGTAGAAAATCTCCCTATCAAACATAATCAATAATGGTTCAAGTTTCCGGGTAGCCCTCATATAATGACTTCCACTTATAAACGATATTTTGTGCATATTTTGCAACCGAATTGGCTATAATATGATTCGATTCTCGTGGAATTTCAAATCTGCCATTTTTTCATTGTAGTGGCAGCAAATTGGCATTCCGGGACATTGGAGGGTAAAACGGATTATTACGAAAAATGATTGATGTCCCGGCACTATGTCCCCGTCCCATTTTCGATATTATTAAGGTTTAACAGAATTTAATCATCGAAGAGGATATTATTGTTACGAATATAAATTTAGATGAATTCCGTTAATTTAAGAATTTGAATTGTAACGTAAATTTCTACTACGCAGTTTATTTGAATAACTTCAAAACAACAACTACTGTATAGATTTTTCTACATCCTTCCATTTCCTCTTTCATTGTCTATTTTTTTTGTCGACGTACAATTCTTGTTAAACGTCATCATTGATGATCGCTTAATTCCTCTTTCTTTGTTACCACATCACCTGTATATGTGTTGTTGTTATTGTTTACTCAATGTAAGTTTGTATGTGTTGTTGTTATTGTTTGCTCAATGTAAGTTTGTATGTGTTGTTGTTATTGTTTACTCAATGTAAGTTTGTATGCGTGTTTGTTGCATTGGTAGATTGTTCGTGATCTAGGTGTTACCAGATCGTCTAGAAACTTCTGTAGCTACAAGCAAGGCTCATATAAATAGGGGAAATGGAAAGGCAGTGAGTCAGTTGTGAATCAGATCGCGAATTGAAACCGTCGTGTAAAGTAAAGTGTGTCAATAAACTCATTGTAATAATCGTAATCAGAAAGAACAGGCGTTTTATTTAGTACGAACTGTGCTGGGAAATAAAACAACGTCTACACGGGATTAAGTAAAATCCAAGAACGTAACAATTGGTGTCGGAAGTGAGATTACGATAATACTACGATGAAGTTTAAGGACCTACGAGTGGAAGACTTGAAGAAGGAACTTAATAAATTGGAATTGTCCTCTACTGGCAACAAGGCTGAACTACAAAAACGTCTGTTGGATGAGTTCGAGCGCCGTGGTATGAACATCGATACATATGAGTTTGACAGTAAGGATGAAGTGGATTTATCGGAAATGGGCGAATCCAACGGTGGGGAAGTCTCGTCAGTAGCTGCCAGGGGTGACGATTTCAGAGAAATGGTGGCCAAAATGTTTGAGGAAAATTTCAGAAGGTTCGAAGAGAATTCCAGAAAGTCAGAAGAAAACACGAGACGAATGTTCGAAGAAAATTCCAGAAAGTTAGATGAAAATTCGAGAATAATGAACGAGAAACTCGAGAACATTACAGAAGTTATTGGAAGGAGAGTGGAAACCGTGGAGGTCCAAATTAAAGAGTTGGATAAGAAAGTGCAGTCGGTTGACGAGAAGATTCTGTCTGTGGATGAGAAATTTCTGGTCCACGACCACAGGGTTACGAATCTGGAGAAGAAAATGACGGAACTGGAAATTAAAGGTGGCCCGGTGCGAGTTCCTGATAACACACTAAAAATCAAACCTCCTGTATTCGACGGCTCTACGTCATTCAATGTTTTCAAGTTACAATTCGAGACAGTGGCTTCTAGAAATTCGTGGAACGACAGCGACAAAGCGGTTGCATTACTTCTGGCATTGAAGGGCAGTGCTGCTGATGTTATACAGAGTATTCCTGTCGCTTCTAGGAATAACTATGAAGATGTTATTGCTGCACTGGAACGTAAGTAAGGTGGCGAACATAAACAAAACATCTACCTTATGGAACTAAGGGGAAAAGTACAGAGGGCAAACGAGACGTTACAAGACTTTGCAGCTGAGGTGGAACGTTTGGTGCTAATGGCGTATCCAGGAGAGAATCACCCATTGCTGGACCGTATGAAAATCGAAACCTTTGTGAATGGCATACGTGACCCTGAGATTAAATGTGCAACATATGCGTCACCAAAAGCGTCGTTTGCCGAAACTGTGTCGTTTGCCCTTGCCCAAGAGACGGCAAGAATAATTGTTAAGCCCCAGACCCACAGGATTCGCCAACTGGAGACCGAAGGTTGCGAACACAAATATCTCGTTAACTTGATCAAGGACGCCATGAGGCGGGTAATAGAAGAAACAAAGTTAGTAGGGATGACTAAGCCCAGGGTTAGATGCTACAACTGCGATAAAGCAGGTCATATTGCGCGCGAATGCAGAGCTAAGCGCAAACGATCCAGGTCATCGTCACCACCTCCAACGAAAGATGGTAGAAGAATGGCTCAACAGGCCACCAATGAGTCACCGTTAAACAGAATCGAGCACAGAGAAGGCGGAAAACACGGTAATGCTGATGCCCTGTCTCGTCGGCCATGCAAGGTAGAATACAGGCACTGCTCAAAGGCCGAGTGCAAAGAGAATATCGTTGATGTCCGACGATTGCAGTTTGAGTCGGGCGAAGATTGGTCGACGGAACAACGAAGAGATCCCATTCTGGGCAAAATAATTTCGGCCATAGAAACGGGCAAGCGACCTAGTCGGAAAGAAATTACCTCCGAAAGCCCTCTTTTAAAATCCTATTGGGCCCAGCGGGACAGTCTACTTATAAAAGATGGTTGCCTATATCGCAAATGGGAAAGTGAGGACGGTAAATCTCACCGGAACTTGATCGTCCTCCCAGACTCCAAAATAAGAGATGTCTTGTCGGAGTTTCACGATGGGCCAAGTGGAGGACATCTTGGCATAGCAAAAACCGCTGAAAAGGTAAAGCAGAGATTCTACTGGGTGGGCTGTCAAAAATCCATTGCCGACTGGATCGCCAATTGTGAGAGGTGCATAAGAGCTAAAGGTCCAGCACGGAAGAGTCGAGGCTACATGCAGCAGTATAATTCAGGAGCCCCTTTTGAAAGAATCGCAATGGATGTAGCTGGACCGCTCCCCACAAGCGACTCTGGGAACCGGTATGTCTTAGTGGTCATGGATTACTTCAGTAAATGGCCAGAGGTTTATGCTATCCCAAATCAAGAAGCCAGGACAATTGTGGATGTTTTCAGCAAAAATTGGATTTGTCGCTATGGTGTTCCATCGGAGGTTCATTCCGATCAAGGTAGGAATTTTGAATCAGCGATCTTCAAGGAAATGTGTGACTCCTACGGAATCAAGAAAACCAGAACGACGCCCCTACATCCACAATCAGATGGCATGGTGGAACGATTCAATCGCACCCTGGAAGAACATGTACGGAAAGTGGTGGACAGTGGCCAACGAGACTGGGATGAGCATATTCCCAAGTTTTTACTGGCTTATAGATCGGCCATTCATGATTCCACATCCCGGACCCCAGCCAAAGTTCTGTTCGGAAATGAATTAAAGCTACCTGGCGATTTGATATTCGGTGCTACCCCAAACGACGATGTGAACCAAGATGAAGACAGTCAAAACTCTTTTAGTAAAGTCCACGATGCAGTCCGACATCGAATAAAAATGGTTAGCGACCGCATGAAGGCAAGGTACGATCGAGCGGCAAATACCGATGGGTTCCAAGAAGGACAACTGGTACTATTGTTCAACCCACAACGAAAAAAAGGACTATGCCCCAAATTGCAAACGCACTGGGAAGGACCCTACAAGATTGTCACGAAAATAAATGACGTCGTTTATCGCATCCAGAGGAGCGACAGTCCCAGGTCGAAGATGAAAGTTGTACATTTGGAGCGGCTGGCCCCCTACGGAACGGGAACTGTGCCTATTCGGGACGAACAGGCTTAAGCGGGGGGCAATGTTACGAATATAAATTTAGATGAATTCCGTTAATTTAAGAATTTGAATTGTAACGTAAATTTCTACTACGCAGTTTATTTGAATAACTTCACAACAACAACTACTGTATAGATTTTTCTACATCCTTCCATTTCCTCTTTCATTGTCTATTTTTTTTGTCGACGTACAATTCTTGTTAAACGTCATCATTGATGATCGCTTAATTCCTCTTTCTTTGTTACCACCTCACCTGTATATGTGTTGTTGTTATTGTTTACTCAATGTAAGTTTGTATGTGTTGTTATTGTTTGCTCAATGTAAATTTGTATGTGTTGTTGTTATTGTTTACTCAATGTAAGTTTGTATGCGTGTTTGTTGCATTGGTAGATTGTTCGTGATCTAGGTGTTACCAGATCGTCTAGAAACTTCTGTAGCTACAAGCAAGGCTCATATAAATAGGGGAAATGGAAAGGCAGTGAGTCAGTTGTGAATCAGATCGCGAATTGAAACCGTCGTGTAAAGTAAAGTGCAAAGTAAAGTGTGTCAATAAACTCATTGTAATAATCGTAATCAGAAAGAACAGGCGTTTTATTTAGTACGAACTGTGCTGGGAAATAAAACAACGTCTACACGGGATTAAGTAAAATCCAAGAACGTAACATTATTTTCGCATATCGGATTTCTGGTGAATAAAAACTTCTTTCCAGAAAAAGTTCAACATATGTTATTGTTTATATCCACTTATGTTATGTTTAGGATTGTTCTCTCTGAAGCACCCAAGCAGGTACTTCACGGAAGACATACTGCTATGCTGTAGTAAGTGAGGGATCTTCTTTTCCCTATATGTATTTTCCACCGGTGTCATGAGGGGCCATTCTGCTGCAATTCTTAAGTCTCGTTACAACTGGTCTGAATATTTCTGCATTGCATAACACTAGTATACGCGAAACACACTGGCATCGCATAGCTCACCACCGACCGACCTATAATATTATAAGGAGGTCAACGCATGGCAAGCGACTTGAGTACCGTGTTCCTACTTTTTAACCTATCGCAAACAGCTGTGATTTGCGCGGACGACATATTGTGCGAACTATGTGGCCGAAGATTTCGTAGCATATATTTGTATATGCCTTACGTGGAAGAAAGATGCCAAGTAGACATATATCCTCAACGAAACAACAATATCGTCAACCGAATAGGTAGAGGTTGAATAACCCCGGAATCATCGCTCCATCCACTAGAAAATTTGTTATTTAAAATAAATATGTCCTCGTGGCCGTAAAACGACATTTACATTAGAACATTTTACCGAGCTAACCTACTTCATGCGGATTTATTTGACATATATGCAAAGGAATTGAGAATTGAAACCCTCTGGGTTAACGAAATCCGGTTAAATGTAAACGTACTATAAGCCTTCAGATTTAGATAATTTTCAACTAACCATTATAACCACGCCCAAACTACCTTCATCGGGTCATAAATTGCGAATTTATGATAATCTCTGAAAAAATATTAAGAATACCCGAAATGAGCCCCTAATCTGAACATCCTCCATTAATTTAGAGGGAAAGTCCAATTTTGATATTTTCAGATTTTATCGTAGACGAAGATATGGCAACACGACATGTTTTTGTTTTGATGCCACTGAGCACCACATGACACTTGACATCTGTCAAACAAACCTATTTTGCGCTACGTTTTGTTTTGTTATTTTGTTCCACGGCAAACGTTTTGAAAAAAAAAAATAATTTAAATCAATTAACAAAATATATAATTTTCGACAATGTCTGTGGTGATCGAGACCACAATAGGCGACATTACAGTCGACCTCTTTGTCGACGAACGGCCGGTGGCATGCCTGAACTTTATGAAACTGTGCAAACTCAAATACTACAATTACAATCTCTTCCATACCATCGAACAGGGTTTCATAGCACAGACCGGTGATCCGACCGGGGCTGGAGATGGTGGCAGTTCCATATGGGGTGTTGTTGAGGGACAACACAAACGTTTCTTCGAAGGTGAAACTCTGCCAAAGATTCATCATTCTAGTGCTGGTCTCATCTCCTTGGTCGGAGCCGGCAAACAACTGCTGGGCAGTCAATTCTTTTTCACGCTGGGTGATAATTTAACCTCATTGGATGGACAACATTGTGTCATTGGCGAAGTGGTGGAAGGGCATGAGACTTTGAGAAAGTTGAATGAGGCTATTGTAGATGAAAATTTTAGACCATACCAAGATATACGTATTACACATACGGTAATATTGGAAGATCCATTTCCCGATCCGAGAGGATTTAGAGAACCAAGTAGATCACCTTCACCGTCGGCGGAGAGAATGCAAAATGGGCGTATTGCGGCAGATGAGGATATTGACGACACCGATGGCAAGACAATGGAAGAAATACAAGAAATGTTGGCCGAACGTGAGGCAAAGGCCAGGGCAACAATATTGGAGATTGTGGGAGATTTGCCGGATGCCGAAATGGCTCCACCTGAAAATGTTTTATTCGTTTGTAAATTGAATCCCGTGACGACAGATGATGATTTGGAAATCATTTTCAGTAGATTTGGACGAGTCAAAAGTTGTGAAGTAATAAGAGATCGGAAGACAGGAGATTCGCTACAATATGCCTTTGTGGAATTTGAGGATCAGAAAGCCTGTGAAGCTGCCTATTTCAAAATGGATAATGTTCTCATCGATGACAGACGTATTCATGTGGATTTCTCACAGTCTGTATCGCGTATTAAATGGCGTGGCAAAGGTCGAGGAGTTGAAGGTGATTCTAAAGGATTAGATTTTAATAATTTACGGGACAAAGGGCACGATGATCGCAAGCCATTCAAACAAAAGGAAAGACGTTCGCCGCCACGAAGAGACAACAATAGACAACGTGAACGTAGGCGAACACGTTCTAGGTCGCGTTCTCGTGGTAGAATGACTTCAGCCGAAAGGCGTAAAGCTAGAGAGGAGCGCCACAGGGAACTGGAAAAACAAAGGCGGTCAAGATCTCGATCAAAATCTAGACACAGATCACCACCAAGACGGGACAATCGGAGATCAAGATCTCGATCAAAGTCTAGGCACAGATCTCCACCAGTACGTGATAGTCGGAGGGGTGAAAGAGACAGATCGCCAATTCGAAGGAACAATGATAGACATTCTCCCAAGAGAAGGCAGGATGAACGTTATAATGACAGAAGGTATGATGGTGGACAAAGTAGACACAGAGATAGACGAGAATCACCGGCGAGAAACATTGATCGAAGGTATGATGATGATCAACGTAGAGACAGAAGTAGGCGAGAATCGCCGGTAAGAAACAGTGATAGAACACAAAATGGAAAATCTGTGGATAAGAAACGATACGAATCGCCGGTAAGGAAAAATTCTCGACGAGATGTGAGCCCGCAAGAAGAAAGTAAAGATATAAGGAAACGTAAAAAGGAGGATGCCAAGAAGAAAAGTAAGAAATCGAGAAGAGATAGTAGCAGCAGTGAAGAATCCTCCTCTTCTGAAAGTGAAGAGGACTCATCATCTTCCTCTAGTGAAAGTGAGAGCTCCTCTTCTTCATCCGAGGATGACAGGAGGAAGAAAAAGAAATCGAAAAAGTCAAAGAAGAAAAAATCTAAATCAAAGAAAAGTAAACCAAAAAAACACAAAAAATAATGTACAAGAGAAAAACAACTTTAATAAAGATGACAACAAATAATTAAACTAGAATTTTTTTTTACTTTTGTTGATTTGATTCTGCATCTTTGCTTGCCGGCGCAGCAGCTCCACCACAACAACCGGTAGCAGGTTGTCCTTTGCGACGTCGTGGTGGTTCTATCACAGCATCAGGATTAAAAACTATGTTATCCAGGCGGGTTGTTTCGGGGGTAATGCGCAATTCTGTTTGGAGAAGGAATTGTCATTAAAAACAGTTAATTTATTTTAACAGAACTCCAATGGGTTGAGTTATGTTTAGGGTCTCATTTCTCATGTAGGTTTCTTTTCTCTGATTACGGACATGTGCAACTTTCATGGGGGAATTCCATACATCCAGAGATATGAATCTCTGAAGTTTCGGAATGCATGTGATCATAACTTTGTCATTTATTTAGAAAATAATGTTAATTTAAAATAAATTTTTAACGCCTAGCAGATTTTTTTCTCTGTCTATAGGGGAATCTTAAAACACCGACCGAAAGTTAATTTTCAGTGTAAAAAAAAACATCCGAATTTTTCTTCAGTCCATATGAACTCAGTGTGAAAGTATAATTTGCACGCTTTGCCAGAATATTACCTTCATCGGTTCATAAATAAAGTTATGACCATAAATACTTTTGAAACTTTAGATTTTCATATCTCGGGATGTATGGAATTCTCCCATAATAGCCATATATGTTCATGATAGAAGGTACAAGTCCAGCCTCTGCTAACAATTCCAATAGAATCCGATATAAGCCCCTAAACTCAACTTGCTCCATTCCAATTGTTGTGACCTACCATAAACACCTTCATCCTTTTGTTTAGCCTGTATGACATTTGTGCGCAATTCCTTATCCACATCCAGAGCAAGTTTTATCATCTATAAGAAGTCATATTGAGGTCTATTATTATTCTTCGAGAAGGTTTATATGCAGGTTTAATCCATTACCTTTTTGATTTCATCCACATTGGTCTCCTGCATATTCTTTCGGAAATGTGAATTGATTTCATTTCGGCCCAACTGCAAAGCCTTGTCATCGCCGGCAAATATCAATTGTCTTGTTCGATGAAGTTTTCGAAAAGCGCTCAATACCTTAAATCAATAAACATGGCTTAATTTATAAATTTGTAGAAATTTCGATTGCAATTTGTTACCTCACGACGAATTTGTTGAGACATTTTCCTAATGTTTTTATTCTGTTATGTCAAATGTCTTCAACAGTTTGAAAGTCACTGCAACTTGTGTATGGGTTTTGTTGACGTTAAAAGTAGTAGACACGTAAATGTAACGTAAACGTATTTGAAATTCGTAATGAATGTTTAGATTCAAACTACTAACAAAATTTTTCAATTTGTCGTAAGGGATAAAATGGACCAAAACTTTATTTTTGTCTGTTTTGCTGGTCGCTCTAGAATCCACAATTATGACCGGAACATCACGAAATTTTACACAGCATGGCTCTGAGAGAAATTCCGGTAATGGTCAAGGATGACGCCTATGATGGTGATGACCAGATGATAATTAGGGAATGAAATGGACTGAAAGCTTTTATGGTTTTCTAATCGTTCTAATGGCCACTATTATAAGTCGAACATAACAAATTATACACTGGGGAGGGAATCTGGCCAAAAAATTAAATGACCGACCCCGTGCGACTATACTGCTCCGTTCACTGGTTTTTTACCAGGACATTGTGACATCTTGGGTAATGAAAGAGCGGACGAACTAGCTAGACGAGGATCTCAATCAACCAATCTAGAAACTTATGGCCAAACCACCCATATGTATCTTCTATAGGAATTTGGAAGCATTATTTGACAAAATAGCCTGTGAACTTTGGCACAACGAACCTAGGTGCAACGTGTCAAGATCCATTTGGCCGACTCTGTCTACCAAAAGAACGCACTCACTATTGAACCTGAGCAAAGCCGAAATTAGAGTGATGACGGGAATCATCACTGGTCACTGCAACATCAGGGCTTTTACTAGTAAATGGGATCTTGATGCAATTGATTACTGTAGACTCTGTGTTGACGAGGAGGAGACGGAGACAATTGAGGATCTCCTGTGTCATTGCCCAGCCCCGGCTTACAGGCGACACAGACTAATGGGTGCTCATTTTCTACCGAGTCTCAGCTTCTTCTCATCAACCGAACCTGCTCTAATCTACAGCATAATTAGAAAAATAAAGTGGTTAGGAGCATACAACCTTGGCACGTAACACATCTTCAGTCTGACTCATGGGGCCATCGACCTTCATTCTTCCTTCATTAATTTTTGTAAGATTCTCAACACTCCTTTAATTTACTAATCCTCTCTCCCCTATAAATCTGTCTTTGGTCTCTTCTCTTCACTGTATCTCTTCTTGTGGATGTTCACAACGGACCTAATAGGTCTCAGAGTGCTGCAGTCACACATGTGACTGCACATCCCCAAACCTAACCTAACCTAACTGGTTTTTAAATGTTGAGAATTTCGGTACTGGATGTCCACAAGAGCTTTTAGGTTAAGTAGAGTAGGAGGTTCTTTGTTGGTAATAAACTTTGTTTTCTTAAATTTGAGTGCATTTAGAGATGATCCTACGCACAATATCCTGTCGGTAGAAAATACATAGCATCTTTGGAGGACTATTGACATGGAATCGGACGAAATTAAAGCTGGGGTTTTTAGGACACAATTTAATTTACCGAATTAAACGGAACACATTTCATTAGAGACTCAATTAGATACACTCAATGTGAATCATTTAATCGCAATCGGACAAACCTTAAGAGTTTGGTGTACCATATACATAAAATCAGACGAAAATATATTTGGAAGAACCACGCATTGTTCTACACTGAATTTAATAATAATTTCGCCTCAATCGGACAAACCTTGGGAGTTTGTTGCACCATTTACAACAAATCGGATGAACGTATATATGGGAGCTATACTAAATCTGAATCGATTTTCCGTTTGTCCCTTTCAAAAATATGCACAAAGACACAGTGTGATGAATGGTATAAAATATGTATTAGTATTTTGATTACCACCAAGATTGGTTTATACCGGTATCTATATCACGAATTCCACAAAAACGTCAACCACATATGTGAAAAATGATTTTTTTTGATAATGCTGTTATGTGTGTGTATTGAGATGACAACCCCAAATAAAACAAAGTTTGTCTTCTATCTCCATCGAAAAATTATGTATTCGTCACGCACATGTTACATTTTGCCTCAATAAGTTTAGAACCGGACTTACAGGCAAAAATTTCGTAAAGATTGTTCCATAACTGCATAATGATATACTAAAGGTCTTGGGACCACACAAAGCTATAATACCCTGACGACGTAGTTGTGTGGGGTAGGTTATAAGAATAAGCATATTTAACACATTCTGTTTTGAATTTAATTTTTTTAGTACATGTGTGTAATGGTGCGTTACGAGTGTAACATGTGCGTGACGGTGTTCAAAGTTAAACCAGTAAGGAAAGTAGTAAAGTCGGACGGGGCCGACTATATGATACCCTTCACCACTATGGGTGTATTAAACAGCATTATTAACATGAAATTGGATGAAATAAAATATGTGATATTTATCTAAATGTGAATCGGACTAGATCTATCCATAAACATGTCATTCGTTTGGGACAAAAGTATGAAAATCTACTTCAAACAAATATCAATAGGTCATCCGTTGGGCTATGTCTGTACTTCTAGAAAACGTAACTAAGTTATTCTAGGCTCAATTTTGTACGTTGTGCAAAATTTTATGACAATCTGACAAACATGAGGAGTTTGATGTACAATTTACTTCAAATCGGGTGGAAATATATATGGAAACGAAACTTGTCACAGGTTAAGTTATACTAATTTTCTGGACTAAATTCAGTACGTTATGCAACATAAGAACTTTGGCACATCATTTAAATCGGACGAAAAATATATATCTAGATCTGAACCGATTTTCACGAAACTTGGCAGACATCGCTCTAGGCTCAATTCAATAGGTCATGCCAAAATTCCTGCAATTCGAAAGATTTTCAGGGACTTTGGTGCATCATTTACCAAAAATCGGACAAAAATATATATGGGAGCTATATCTAAATCTGAACCGATTTTTCCCAATTTCAATAGGGTTCGTCCTTGGGCCAAATAAATGAGTTGTACCAAATTTCATCCAAATCGGATTATAAATGCGACCTGTACTTTGTTTACAATTTAACATCAACAGGCAGACAGACAGTCGGACGGACGGACATGCATAAATCGACTTAGAAAGTGATTCTATGCATATTCTCAAAAGGAACCATGTGTCTATCTCGTTTATTTTTGCCTGTTACAAACATATGCACAAATACATAATACCCTGTACCACAGTGTGGTGAATCCGCAATTTTATCTCCAACCAGAAATTTCATATTGAAAGTGATATCCAATGTTCAAAGGGAAAATTTTGTAGCGCGTGCGTACGCTAAATTTTGCTTAATCCTTTCAGTGTCAAAAAAAAAAAAAATTTTTCAGAATAAAAATCTAAAATTTTGTATTTAAGATCATATAAAGGCACATAGTTTAGAAAAAAAGCAATTCTCATTTTAACCCTCGGACAGTTTTGTCTGTCTTTCACCAAAAACAAAAACATCAATTGTAACGTTACATAGGATAATCGGAAAATCGCAAAGAAAGAGAGTAATTTTAAATGTCGAATATATTCGACAAAAACACTGAAAGGGTTAATAGCTCCGAAATATACAAACATATGGTCTGTTCCCGTACTGCAAGAATCTACTAGATTTTACTATTTTCTTCGATATCATAAAGGAAAATTCGTTATCGTAGTAAAAAGTAGTAGATTTTTGCAGTACGGGAACAGACCAATATTCATAAAAAAACTATTTAATAAAAATTGCAAAAGAAATTTCGAAAACAAATTTTTCTTAACTTTCCGATTATATTTCCCACGCTGTAACTGTGCGTGACATGGAATTCGTGATATGTAACTCTAGATTACAATAAGGATTTTAGGAGGACATCTTGTGTACCCAAAGTGCCCGACTTTAGTCCTTCCCTCACAGCTTTATGCTTTTTTGATGGGTATTGTGTGTTCGTGGTGAGTATATAACTTCCCTACAAAACATCCACACAATCCGGCGAACGAATTGACCCAGTATTGGAATGTGCCAGTTTTTTTTACTCATATATGACAGAGCGTCATATTTATCAAATTAATGCTAAAATTGCCTTATATATAGCTTTATACACATATAATTTAATCAGACTTTGACCTTTCAGTACGGTATTCATAAATTTGCCGATCATCAACTATGTTCAATTTTATTTGCTTGTACCTGCATATAATTACTTAATTAGTCCATTTGCCTCTGTCATTCCAATTGTGGATTAGTTTAATTGACTCAGACGTTGTAACGTTTATGAACATCATAAATTGGTTGCAATGACACCCTAAGTATACAATTTGCAAAGTGCTTCTAAGAGGTTTTACTTGGAATTCTTAATATGTACATCGACAATCAGCTTCAATAGCTCAATAAGAAAACACACAGTGTAATTGCTTTCCAAGAATTTGGTAATTCTGTTGATTTGAGCATAGATGAAAACTTCTATACGATGATAGAGAAGTATGTTAAAATTCTCTTTACCCTATTACAATATATTCACATAATTGTTTCTAATCATTAAAATAATTAAGCCTTATAATTACATACTCGCACATGCCTGTGTACATATATTTTGTTTCAATAAATTGGTTACCTTGGTTCAAGGATTCTCCATCAGCACAACACTGACGAATTTTAAAAGGAAATATTAAAATTTTAATAACTCTTAACTCATGTCTTATTACAAAGGCAGCAGTCTAATGTGAAGATTTTTTAATAATTAGCAACCTTGAACATCGTTGAACAATTACGTATCTAATATAACATGCAGACATTGCCTACAAGTATCAAATGAAACTTTTAATTCCCTAACGATTTTATTAGCATTTTTTCTTTCATTCGACAAAATAAAAACTCAACTTCGTTTGGAATTTTAACAGTTTCCATAGTGTAAGCAGCTTCTTTGTCTACATATTTGAGTGTTACAAACAAAAAAAACATTTTGCAATGAATTCCCTAGAATAATCACAGTGAATTCCGTGGCAGATAATTTTAAGTGTCACTGCCAAACACCCTAATTGAATGCTAATGAT